TGTTGTTTACCAAGCTATATCTTGGTGTAAACTATCTAATATTTTTACTTCCTATAGTTATACCTCCCTCATTGCAAACCGGGAAGGTCTTTTGTAAACACCATGGATTATACATCTCTCTTGTAAATTTCACTCTCTTATAAAAAAAAAAAAAATGACGGGTTTTAACTTCGAGGCATTTGTTGTGTGATTTTGTATTTTGTAGTAAACTTGGTTTGTCTGTAATAATTAATTCTTTATTTTCACTCTGTAAATTCTATACCTTGTTCGTTTTACTTCACTGGAGCTCTTATTTATTATTTTTATTTTAATTTTTTAAAATTGCACTTAAACCCCCTTCCCCCAAAGGGACTACTATACTTCAGTGCACTTCATGCTTTTATAATTGTTGCTGATGCTGTATGTAATTTATTGATGATTGATGAATGACCATTTTTTTCTTCTTTCTCTATCAGATCATAGAGAGAATTATCGAGTTCTCCCGACGTCACATAATGGATATTATGTGTGCTTATGATCCTTCATATTGTGCGTTGCATAAAGCCAGTGAAAATGGTGTGTTTGAAGGTCAGTAGTTTAATCTAGTTTCTTTTTGTAGTATTATTGATCTGTTTTACATCATGTCACAATTTTATATATTTTAGACGAAAAAGATATTGTAATACTCTTCAGGGAGAAAAATAGCATTAATGTTGATTTCAAAATGCAACAGAACTAAATTACTTGATAGCATTATTGAAATTTTACTTAAGGACTGAATACAAAAATATCAATGAAAATTCCTCAATTCTAAACTTTTATATATTAATAATGATGTGTTTTTTTGGTTAGGTAATAATGGTTATGTGAAACCTCCTTACTAGGGAAAAATCGGTAGCTTTTTTTTTTTTTTTTTTTTTTTTCTTCTTCAAGACATGATGTTATACATCTGTAAAAAAGAACTTAGAATATGAGTTAGAAAGCAATCATCGGAAGTTAGGATAGATTTCCTGTAAATTGATGTCTTGAATAGGCTAATTTATTTTACTGAGTAATTTGGATCTACGGGAATATTTCCTTCTCATATTAGTTTATGGTTGTCCCATGTTTAGGTGGTCTCGGTCTGCCCCTTTTTAATTCACTTCAGCAAATGCAAACATCAGATATTTAAACCCTTATATTTCTTACGCAAACAATATTTTCTTAGACCTTCATGTTCTAAATTCAGAAGTGAATGTGGGGATGTCTGCTCCTTAACTTGGGTCATATTTGTTGTTAGGTCGTTGACTGAGTGGTTGCTCAGTTACTTGAGAGTATCATATTCATAATTGATGCAGTTTTTCCCTTGCTACGTAAATTGTCTCTGAATGTTGCTGAAGATCTAGAGCAAGACTTGAAACACATGATTGTTCGGCATTCCTTCTTCACAGTTGTACATGCTTGCATCAAGTACTTATCCTCTCTACTTATTACTTTTCTCTTATTTTCATCCGATAAATTTTTGCTCAACAAACTGCTGTGTAATTTACTTATCTCGTCTTGGCGCATAATTGGACTATGTAGTTTGAATTTTGTTTGCAATCTTGGTTTTCATGAGGGACTGATTCTTTTTCCCTATCCACAGATGCCTTTGCTCTTTGAGTAAGGTATCGGGTAAAGGTGCATCGGTTGTTGAGTATCTCATTCAGATGTTTCTTAAACGCTTGGATTCTCAAGGAGTTGATAACAAACAGGTTAGATTTTTTAATTTCTTCATTATATTGTTGTGTTTCTTGTTAGCAACAAGAAAAGCATTTTTTTCTCCCGTATGTACTATCTTATTAAGGGCTAGTGAACTGCTAGTCTCTAACAGTATTGATTGGGATGAACTTCAGATCTGTCACAATGGACCTGTAGATTGCCTAGTTGCAATTCAAGTGTTAATAGTCATTCCTGCATTTCCGTTGCTTTTCTTTGTCACCATTGTGTATTTGACCCATCTGAATTGATTATTGAATGTTTTCATTATTTAGTTTAATTAGATTCTAGGATAACTGTTCTTTTATATGTGACCTATATACCATTATGTTACTTTGGTTATCAAAACAAGATTTATGAAGTTTGTTGGTACAACGACAGTAGTTTTTTGTTTTTTTGGACATACAATGATAATAGTTATATAAGTTTGGATTATGAAACTGCAGCTGGTAGGACGTTCACTCTTCTGTCTCGGATTACTTGTTCGCTATGGTAGTCCTTTGTTGAACAATTCCAGCAACAAGAACTTCGATGTCGCAAAAAGCCTCAGCTTGTTGAAGAAGTACCTGCAGACAGAGGATTTAGTTATTAGGATTAGAGCTCTGCAGGTATCCTCTCGCTTATATTTTTCTCTTGGATTTCCCTTTTTCTGTTTACAACATATTGAGGCGAACTCTTAACTCTTTATACATTTTGTAGGCTGTGGGATTTATTCTTATTGCGAGGCCTGAATTTATGCTTGAAGAAGATCTTGGGAAAATTGTAGAGGAATCATTGTCATCTGGTTCTGACGTTCGTCTTAAGGTGAGTGAACAATTTCCTTTTTGTTTCGTTAAATGTTATGGGCATACGTTTGAATTATTTCGCTGGGCAGATGCAAACATTACAAAACATGTATGATTATCTTCTTGATGCGGAAAGTCAAATGGGAACAGATGAACCTGGTGATGGAGTTGCCCCTGATACTGTGGAGGTGGCCAAAGTGTACCCGTTGCTGCTGGGGCAGGAGATACCAACATATGTGGTGGTATTGTTCAGTTGTATTGGGAAAGGATTCTGGGAAGAAGCTTAGATTTAAATGGTCAAGTTCGTCAAACTGCCCCCAAGGTAAAAAAAAAAAGGCTAGTCCGTTGCATTTTCTTGTTCTGGATTATAGTTAAGTTTACCAACCAGAAAGCTGTTTGTGACAACCATGGCTGATAATGCTATTCATAACCAAAGTAAGAAACTTGGAAGATATTGGATATCAGTTTTTGAATCTATAAGAATGCACGAGCGCAGACAACTTGCTCTACGTCTTTGGTCATGTATGTGTTGACCATTTGTTTGTTTTCCTACTTTCTACTTATTTGGTTCATTGAGCATTGTCTTTTATTATCTTTTCAATATACAGATCGTGGAAGTGGTGCTTCGCCAAGGTCTTGTCCATCCGATTACCTGTGTTCCTTATCTTATCGCACTTGAAACAGACCCCCATGAAGCAAACCCAAAGCTGGCTCACCACTTATTGATGAATATGAATGAGAAGTAATGTCCCCTATGCTCAACTTATTTAGTTGTCAGCTTAAACCTATGCAATATAACTGATGCATCTCCTTTCAGGTACCCAACATTTTTTGAAAGCCGACTGGGGGATGGTCTTCAAATGTCATTCATTTTCATCCAAACTATCAGTCGTGGTTCTAACAATGCAAATCAAAAAAATTCAATCCAAGGGCTCTAGCAATTTGAAAGGTAAATCTGATGGTAGTTCGTTGACTCAAGCAAGACATGGAGTTTCTCGAATTTACAAGCTCATACGAGGAATCCGAGTCTCGAGGAACAATTTTATATCCTCCATTGTTCGGAAGTTTGACAACCCACAGATGAATGACTCAATCATACCTTTCCTTATGTGAGTTCAAATCTATTCATTTTCCCCACTTTGATATGATATCTTTGGCTAAAATGGCTTGAATTCTTTCTCCCTTTTTTTGCAGGTACTGTGAAGAAATACTTGCATTATTATTACCGTTTACATTCCCTGACGAGCCTTTATATTTGATTCATGCTATTAATCGAATGATACAAGTAAGAGGTGGAGCACTTCAAGAAGAGATCAAAGCACTGGGTATGCGTTTGTTACAAGGGAATACCCAGAATATTCCTTACGAAAATGGAATGATTCAGCCTCCGCAACCTGCTCTATTTTCTGATAATATAATTTTTATCGGATATGAACAGGTCAGTGGAGATTGATCATGCTCGTCCTTTTTGTGATTTTATGTCGATGGATTTGAATCAGCAAATGCCACCAGAGTCGGTTGCTCATCATGAATTGAGTAATATAATACTACATTGGAGGGAAAACTCCATAACATTTGCTCGGTGGATTTGTATAGTATCTCAAAAGATGATCTTCAGAAAATTCAGGTAATTTCAAACAGTTAGTTTGATCACTCAAAAGTTGATTTTGAACGATTAAAGGCATGTATGTTTGAGAGTGATTTTATACTTGGTAAAGATTATTTCTTTTGGGTATCTCATTTCTTCCTTTTACTTCAATTGTTCCTAGTCTATCTGTTAAACCATTGCTGACGATGAGCCTGGCAGCTATCGCACTGCAACTTCTTTTGAAGCTAAAGAGACATCTAAAGATCGTGGACAGTCTAAACGATGCACGATGCACGATGCCAGGTATATATATGCTTGTTAATTGGTATTTATTCACAACGTAGACACAAAGCCGTTCAATTGGCTCATCATGTTCTTTTCTGGAAATTAGTCTTTCAATCCAAATGAACCACCAAAACCTGGAGAGTTCCTGTCCAAACAAAATGTTCCTTTTGACATCAGCGAAACATGCACAACTTTTCCAACATCTTATCAAGAGTTTATGCAAAGATACCAGGTGCGTGAACAAATCCTTCGGTTTTCCATTGTATCATTTATTCTCCCTCTGTCATCTGATTAAAAACACCACAGGCTTTCAAGAGCACTCTTAGGGGTGATGCATTTGATTACTCCACTTACACAGCAAATATTAAAAGGAAGCGTCCTACCCCAAGAAAAGGACGGAAATCTACAACGGGTGGTGACGAGGAGGACAACAGTGGCAGGAAAGGTAGCTATAGTAGGCAACGATGATGCTGATAGGTGTAAGTAAATTGTAACATGCTTAGGTTTAGGCTAACTTGTACATTAACAAAGTGAAATAGAATAGAATAGAGATACTAGGAAAGAAAAAAAGGGTTTAGGTAATCAATCTGGAAACAGCCAATAGAAAAATTGTGGAATAGTTTGAATATCGTCATGTAAAAACATCCTCATTATTTATTATAAAAAAAAAAAAAAGTTGACACATCTTCTAAAAGTGCGTACAAATCTATAAGAAATTTGAACCTAAGAAAAAAGAAAAAGAAGAGCTTGAAAAGTGGCATTGTTGAAGGCTATCAATCAAGGTACGATCACAAGAAGAGGCTGCACAAAAAAGAGGAAGAGTTAAAGAATTTAGATGCAAGTTTTTTAGGGAAAAGAAAATAAATGGAAGAATATGAGGGAGTAGTACCGTGTCTACGCTGACTGGTTTTCCGTCTTCAGCCAATATTTCAGCTATGGTTCCAGATCTATCAGCTTCAATCTCATTCATTAACTTCATGGCTTCAATTATACATATTATTTGCCCTTTCTGCACTTTATCTCCCACCTACAAAATCCACACATGAATCAAATATATATATATATATATATATATATATATGGAGGAGTTCAAAGTTTGATCTTCTCAACTTACCTTCACAAATGGAGGTTCTCCCGGGGCAGGGCTTCGGTAAAACGTTCCAGCCATCGGGCATTTCAAAGGTGGATGAGAACCACCCGCTTTCAGTGCAGGGGGGAGAGGTTTTGCTGGAGCAGAAGCAGCTGTAGGTGCAGGTGCCAGGGTCGGGGTCGGTGTCGGTGGAGGTGCAACCATGCTATATGCTTGAGGAGGTGGTGGCAATGCCAGGTATGGACTTGGCTGTAAAGCTTCTTTTTTCCTTATTACAATTTCGCAATCCTGTTGTTTCAGTTGTAGTTCCATGATGTCTCTTGAATCAACAAGTCTGCATATAAAAAGATTTAAAAGTAAAGATTGAACAAACAAAACTAAATTCCCTTTTCACAAGTATGGAAGACAGTAACGCACTTGATGAGATCTGAAACTTGGCTCATGAAGGCTGATATCGTCGACTCATCTGGAAGAGAATTTTGATCAGAAACTGCCTCTGCAGCAGACTCATCTTTTCCTCTAGAGACAAGCGCTGGTGCAGAATTTGAACTTTCTCCAACCACCATCTGTAATAAAGGTAACAAAAAATGCATACAGCTACAAAGAAACCTATGGATGTATCTACAAATAGAAGATTAAAAAGCTCATGCCACCAACTAACCTCCCTAAGTGCATGCACCATTACACCACCAGATTTCTTCTTGTTCGGCTCCTGAAAACACGAAAGTACATACCAAACTCAAAATGTAATTACGAGCATGACCACGACCACGACCACGACCATCTCACTCTTTACCGACTCCATTAAGATCAAATTTTTCTCATTATAAGTTGTAGTTTAAAAAACACATATGTGAACAGTTTAGGTTAGTGGAGTTGTAGGAGCCATAAAAGCTATGCGTGTCGATCGAAGGTGATTTTGGATTAACTCCCGGGATTTTGAGTTTCTTTTCACTGACATAAACTCCAAACAAGGACAAATGAGATCCCCAGCTAACAAACAATTTCATTGAAAACATGAAAGTGGGTCTAGGAAGCTACAAAAAGGCCTTCCAGTTGCATGAACATAAGATAATCCTTCTAATACAGAACATCACTTCTGAAGCAAAGATTCTGTATGCTTTTTTTCTTAAACCATAATCTTTCCTTCTTTCTTTCTCTGGGTTATGATTCTAATTGAGTGCTACAAACGAAAACAACTATGAATCAAGACTATGAAAAAGAATAAGTTCTGTCTTCCAAGTCCTGAAACTGAAACATTAAAATGTCCCAAATTCCATCAATTACTTTCCTACACTCGCCCCCACTCCACATGGTTTGATAAAAAACCATTTCTATTCGGAGAGAATTTGCGCAAAAGATCTTTCTAAATTACGATAATGACGGAGAACATTTGGAGTTAAGAGATTGAAACAGTAAGAATCCATTCCAAGAAAATGCAATGAACATAGTTACAGACCTCAATCCCAGAAAATGGTGGGTGGACAAAAGAAGACCCGAACGAAAATGAATCCTTCAGGCAAAATGGGCGGCGATGAAGAGAAAGATTCTGCTTAATGTGGGTGCGATGCCAGTTGTTGTGAGAGCTGGAACGGAAAGCGGGTAGAGTGGAAAGCTTGGGGCATGGGACCGTGAAGGACGCCATTGGAGAGCAACCCAGAAGAAGGTACGAAGAGGTTCTGAGTTGGAAAGTGGGGAAGTGGGTGTAGGAAATGGGAGTGCGATCTGAAGGAAAGCGAATGAGGGGGAAAAGAGGGGGCGGATTCAGAAAGAAATAAAAAAACAAGGAAGAAGGGGCGATGAGATCCAAGAAAAGGGAGCGTGGCGGGGGAGGCGAGAAAAGGGACTTTGGGAATTTGGGGTTTAGAGGTTTTATTGTTTGGAGAGATTTCGATGATCACAATGCGATGTTGAGAGAGCATTAAATCAACATCGCCGTTTTCATTACAACCAACCATACATGCATTTGCTTCTCTCTCTCTTTCCCAACAACATGTGTACGTGGAAATTCAAAATTCAAATCTTTTGCTATCCATGGTCAATGATTTAGGTTATAATGGGTGGAAACGTATGGATGTTCAAATGACTCCAAAACATTAGACTACCCAAACTAATTTATAAAAGTTAGATTGGGTTCAAGATCCAAAGTGCCAGAGCGTTAAGCGGCAGCCATTAAGTGGAGAATTTTCATCCATTTGTTGTCTCATTTGCTATCTCATGTCATAATTATCAATTGGCCCAGTTGAAATATCCAACGGTGGAATCAACGAACTGAGTCTATAATAAATCGTAATGGAAGACAAATATCTAAATATTTTCCTATAATAAACGATTAAATATGATACATATGGTAAACTATAATTCAAGGCTAAATATCCTTAACACCCCACGCAAGCTGAGCATCGGATTTAAACGAACATGAAGCGTGGATCTGAAAAATAAAAAAAGAGGTCGAACAACACTTTTTGTGAAGATGTCAACACTTGGAGATGGGAAGGTACATACTATGTGCGAAGTTTGCCCGCGATCACAAGTTCCCGAAGGAAATGATAATCTAGTTCAACATGTTTTGCCCGCTTGTGAGAAACAGGATTAGAGCTAAAAGAACAACACTTTTGTTGTCAGATAAAAGTAAGGGTTGCTGTGAAATAGGGACCTTGAGGTAATGCAAAAGATGAGTAACCCAAAGAAGTTCAGCAGCAGTCATGGTAGGAGCACGATACTCAAATTCATAGCTAGAGCGTGAGACATTAGGTTGCTTTTTGACACTACAAGAAACGAGTTTTTTACCAAGATAAATAGAATATCGGATGTAGAACGACGAGTATTGGGACAACCAGCTCAATCATCATCCGAATAAACCACTAGCGCACTAGCAACAATGGATGGACGAAAGATAAGACCAAAGTGGAGTGTTCTCTTGACATAGCGAAGAATACGTTTGACAGGAAGAAAGTGATCTGGAATAGAGGCATGCAAAAATTGACCAACGGAATTGACAACATTGGCAAAATCTGGACGCGTAATAGTTAAGTACTGAAGGGCATCAACAAGAGATCGATAGAGAGTAGGATCAGAGAAAGAAGAACCATCAGCAGTCAGGTGTTGAGAAACAATTATGGGGGTGTGGGCTGGTTTGCTATCAAGCAACTGAGCACGAGTGAGAATATCTTGAGTGTATTTTAAGTGACTAATAAAGAGACCATCAAGTGAAGCTTCAAGATGAAGAAAGTAATTGAGAGAACCCAAATCCTTGGTAGCAAAGTCAGAATGAAGCTTGCGAGTAAAGCTGTCAATAAGAGAGGAGGAGTTGTCGGTAACAATAATTTAATCAACATAAATAAGCAAATCGATAAGGTTAGATTGCTAATGAAAGATAAAAATGGACATGTCAGCACGACTGCAAGAAAAACCAAGTGTGAGAAGAAATAAGCTAAAATGCTGAAACCAGACGCGAGAAGTTTGCTTTAAGCCATAGAGAGTTTTCTTTAATAGACAAACATGAGTGGGAAATCGAGGATCAATATACCCAGGTTGTTCCATATGACATTTTCAATAGGAGTGTCATTGAGGAAAACATTCTTGACATCAAGTTTCCGTAGAGGTCATTTATTTGAAAACACAATAGAAAGCACAATATGGTTAGTGGTAGCTTTGACAACCGAACTTGTAGACGAGACCAGAAACCTGAGGATAACCTTTGGCAACAAGACAAGCCTTGAAACGCTCGATAGATCTATCATGCAAATATTTAATGCAGAACACCCATTTATAGCCCATGATGTTGGTGTTGGTAGGGCGAGGAACTAAAGTCCAAGTGTCATTTTGTTGTAAAGCTCGAATTTCTTCATCCAAGGCAACAACCCAAGCAGGATTCTTAGCCGCATATTTGAATTCTTTTGGCTCAATGGATCCAAAAAAAGTAGAAAGAAGTTGAGATGAGCCCAAAATACCAAGATTTGTTGGATGACAAGTCTTGAAGATACCAGCTTTGACACGTGTGATCATAGGATGAGAGCCCAAAGAAGAAGAGAAATCAGCATTAGGTTCAATAGAGGCCGGATCAGAAATCAAGAGTGACAAAGAGGAACCTGTAAGCGAAGTATCAACCTATACAAACTCATCCACAAGGTCAGAACAAATATCACATAGGGATGAAATTTGAAATTTGAAAAGAGGAAAAAGGTTGAGCGTGAGAGCTAGGGACAACAGGAAAGTGAGTTTCATCAAATTGAGCGTTGCGGGTGATTATAGCTTAGTGGTGGTGGGATCATGACAACAAAACCCTTTATGAGCGAGACTATAACCCAAAAAAAATGCAATGAATGCTACAGGGAGAAAGCTTGTTGGGCATATAATCATGCAAGCAAGGATAAACACGACAATCAAAGGGATGAAAATTGTCATAATGCGGAGGAGTAGCCATAGAGGAGTTTAAATGGTGACTTGCCTCCAAGGAGTGGAGTAGGCAACCAGTTGATAACATAAGCTGTAGTGCTGAAGGCGTCAACCCAGAAACGAGGAGAAAGATGGGAGTGAAAGAGCAGGTTCAAGCTAGTCTCAGTTACATGACGTTGTTTTCTCTCAGCACGACCATTTTGAGCAAGTGTATATGAACAAGAGAGTTGATGGTGGATGTCAGAAGTACATAAGTGAGTTTTGAAACAAGTGCCGGTAAATTCGACACCTCCATCGCTTTGAACCTTGAAACAAGCATAATATTGATTTTCCACAAATTTTTTAAATTGAAGAAAAATATCAAAAAAATCATATTTAAATTTTAAAGGGTAAAGTGAAGTGAATCGAGAATAATTATCATAGTAAAAATAACATAGTAAAGAAAACTCGAATTGGATTTGACAGGGGAAGGACCCCAAAGATCACGATGAATAAAATCTAACACATGAGATGACCTACGTTCATTGCGGGAATAAGACAATCGATGACTTTTCGCAAGCTGACAAGTACTGCATAGTAATAGAGAAGACAATAAAGGCGTAAGAGAAAGATAATCTTTTTTTTATTTAAAAAAGAAATAATAGAATAATTCACCAAACATAGTCGGGCATGCCATATGAATCACATAAAGATTTGTTTCTAAGGACATAAATAAAGGCAGAGTTGTCGCGCTCCAGCACATATAGCTCTCCATCCTTTTTACTGGTTGCCACCACCCTTCCTGTTTGACGATTTTGGATAGTAAGAAAATTATTAGTAAATGTAACGAAGAGAGGAAAATCAGACGTTAATTTACTAATTGAAAGAAGATTGTTAGTGAGATGAGAGACAACCAAGATATCTAATGAGTGAATATTTGGAACAGGAGAAAGAGTACGGGTAATGGGTTGGGATGCACTGTTTCCTACGATGACAGAGTCCTTACTCGTGTAATTTTTAGATTGATTCAAAATAGATGAGTCGGCGGCCATATAGTTGAAGCCCCAGTGTCCAAAAACCAATCAATAGCCACGGGTCCAGCAATAGAACAAGATGTGTTGAAGGCTTCAACAAGGTGAGCAAAATCAGATCGAACATACTGTTGGTTGTAGCGGTCAGCATAATGGCCCTCCATGCGGCATATATGGCAGCGAGGTGATCGATGACCCTGACCCAAGTAGGTTCGTCCTCGGTTGGAAGAGTTGTTTTTGTGGGAATGAGAACGACATTGTTGGTTGCTAAAGAAAGCAGGGTGACTTCCATGGGTGCGACCACGATTAGTGGTTGTGAATGCTATAGGAGTGGAGTCAAAAGACTTAAGGGAGCGTTTGAACAACTCAAAACTTTCAACTTTAGAGACTAAATCTGCAAAACATGGGAGAGGGGTGAGAACCATTTGAGTAGTATAAAAAGTTAAAAAATTGGTGTTGAGTTCACGAAGGAACCAGTCCACTTTATCAATGTCCTCGAAAAGTCTGCAAATGACATGAAGTTGATCACAAATTATTTTGAAGGTAAGGGCATACTCACCAACAGGTTTGGTACCACATTTCATCAACTGCAAGACATTATTGAGTTTTAGTTCACGAGCTTTTTGAATGATGGTTGAACGTAGTTTCCAATGCAAGCCAAACGTTACGTGCAATGGAGAGACCAACAACGACAACAATAGCTTCCTCAGTGAGAGAGGAGAGCAGGAGACAGAGAAGTCATTGATCGGTTGCTTTCCACGCCAAATTTTTGGTGTTGAGTGTTGAGAGGAAGTTTTTAATTTATGTTAGGCTTTTTGGCCATGGATCTCATTCTAATTAATTTCAATCAATTAATTGATTAATGTTTTGATGATAAGAAACCTACTTTTAATTATTAACTATTTTCAGTATTTTTGAAATGTCTACCGGTTGGAAATAACGATTTCAACTACTTTTCAATTACTCAAATCAAAGCTAAAACGAAGAAATTACAGTCGAGACAACATACCCGACGTGAATAACGATTTCAACTACTTTTCAATTACTCAAATTAGAGCTAAAATGAAGAAATTACAGTCGTGACAATATACCTGACGTGATGATGTGACAGCAAAATCAAAATGATGGATAAATCAAAGTATATGAAAATATGACACTTATCATTTTGAGAGGGTAACAAAGGGTGGAGTTTTTCTTATTATTATATTTCTAAATAAAATTATTTTTACAAAATATAAATTTGAATCTAACTGTTACTTCCATCGATTTTTATTATTAATATATTATATTATTATATTATTATATTTTAAAATTTTGATAGTTACTCACATCGTTTTTATTATTATTATATTATTATATTTATAATAAATTTTGAATTTTTCATTTGTTCGTTACTGATATAATTTTTTATTACTATTATATTATTTATTATTATATTAAAGAAATTTAAATAAATGAATTTGTAAATTTTTTTATTTATTTACTCTTAAATCTCCCTCATTATTCCTAACTCAA